CCTCTGGGGCATGTTCCGTACGACTGCCGAAATCAAAGGGAAATCACGAAAACCAAGGCTATATTTTGATGAAAAAAGTTGCAGGTAACCAAAATTCACGAAAACCAAGGGTCCACTGTATGTATATTTTAGGCCTAGTTATATTGCTCACTTATTATATGATAGTGTAATCATGTTATCGGGCTTTTATGTACATTTGAAGTGAAAAAAAAAGAAAAAAGAAAAAGAAAGAGGCTATGTTTCACTTTACAGCAGTTGCCAGAACCTAACCTGCTGTAAAAGTGGGGCCCTCCTGTATATTAATTAATTATACTGTACCAGGATAGAGTGAGTGATGTTCATCTTCTTCATCCATTATCTCTTGAAAACTGAACATGGTATTCGTGTCCCCCTAGTGCAACCTTATAGATGGAATGTTTATAAATAATTAAGGAATGTGATAATAAGAAGTGAGAATGGAGCATTTAAACACCATAAAGACATAGTTAAGATGGCATATGGGAAGTACTGGTGGCCTATATACAGTAGAACCCCCCGTATCCACTGATTCGGTGTCTGCAGTTTCAGTAATCCACGGTTTACCGTGGCTCAAAAATACCTTTTAATTTTGCATAATAATGGCCCAAAAGTGCAAAAGTAGAGAAGCTGGTAGGTTATCAATGCCTGAGAGAAGCTGTGAAGTGCTTCCCATCAATGAAAAAGTGATAATTCTCCATTTATTGTAGAGAATTTATCAATTAAACTTTATAATAGCTATGTATAGGACTTATATGTATATGGTTTGCTACTATCCACGGCAGGTCCTTGGAACACATCTCCCGCAGATATAGGGGGTCCTACTGTATTGTATTTCAATTGGACAAGTCTATACCCACTGGCCCTGTTCACCTAGCAGAAAAATATATTACTTAGATATGGTATACAAAAGTTTATTGCTGTGGGTGACACCCTGTAAATGGTTCGGGGATCATCACCCCTGTAGCCTGGTCTTAGACCAGGAATGGTTTATGTTTTCATGCTTTAAAAAGACATGAGAGCAAACACCAGGACATATTTATTAGAAAGTGTTTTGGTCCTCTGACCTTGATCACTTTCAAAAGTATCTCTAATAAATATATCCTAGTGTTTGCTAATGTTTTTTTAAACCAATTTGTCAGTATCTAATTACCAAGGTTTATACCAAGTCTTGATGCTGTGGGTATAACACAATGTTATTATTTGTAAATTATTATATATTTCCTCTTAATATTAATATATATATACTTAATTAATTATGTATTTAGTTACCAGATAGAAAATTGTCAATTTTTTTTACAGTGGTTTAAAGGACATACGTTATTGACATGCATGTTAATAACATGTTATTAACATACATGTTAATAACATGCAGAAGTACAGATATAAAAAAATGTAATCAGTCCATCAGCCTGGAAGATGTAGTTCTGAGGCAGTCAGTCCCTCAGCCTGGAGAAGATTTATCCTCCAAAGTCAGGCTGAGGGACTGACCTTAAAACTATGTCTAGTGTCCCGTGGCCTGGTTGGCAACTCGCCTCACACATTGAGTGTCTGTGGTTTGATCCCCAGCCGGGTGGAAACATTGGGTGCGTTTCCTTGCACCTGTTGTCCTGTTTACTGGCAGGCAAGTAGGTATCTGGATGTTGGTTGACTGGTGTGGGTCGCATCCTGGGGACAAGCTCGAAGGACCCCCAATGGAAATAAGATAGACAGTCCTTGATGACACACTAACTTTCTTGGGTTATCCTGGGTGGCTAACCCTCCGGTATTAAAAATCCCAACAAAATCTTATCTTATCCTATCTTGTCTTCCAGAGTGATGGACTGATAACATATTTACATCTGTACTTCTGCTGCCTCTGTATTCGACTGAAGAAACCCACTGTGTAGGCAAAACATTTCAGAATAAAGATCCTAACTATTGTACTTATGACTTAGTAAGTTTATTCCTGTACACGAACACATAAATAGTTACACAAATTATCATACATAGTAACGTATGTGTAAATTACCCAGGATAACCCCCTTGACTTACATATCAACATGTAGATAATGTATAACATCATATTTACATAGCTACAGCTTCTTTAGAGGTTGTTTCTCTTCTAGATGACTACAGGAGAAGTGATGCAAATTCTACGTCACTGTAGGAAAGATCTTCCTTGTAGGAAAGATTCTGTCAACAATGATTACTGTTAACTCTACATGACACAATAATAATGCTAAACTAGAGTCTTTCTGAAGAGCTACAATGTATATATATGTATCTATATCACAAAAATTAATGTATTTTATAGGAATTTATGTAAAAAAGGCAATGAAATTCAAGGGAGCCAAATACCAGCCAGCAGGAACTCCTGGTTGTTGTTGTTGTTGTTGTTGTTGTTGGGTTTTAGGGCCTCGCGGCACAAGCCGTGTATTGTGCCTTATATCACGCTCTTTAGGCATAAGAACATAAGAACATAAGAACGAAGGAACACTGCAGAAGGCCTACTGGCCCATGCGAGGCAGGTCCAAGTCTCCTACCGGCTTAAGCCAATGCACCCAACCTAGTCAGGTCAGGTCACATTGACTTAAGGGAGGAACACGGCAACCGACCTGTTAGCACAAGCTATCAGGTCTAACTCACACCCACCCACATCTACTCATGTATTTATCCATGTTTTGGGACTTTTAACCCTGGAGGGTTAGCCACCCAAGAAAGGCAGTGCGTCATTAAGGACCGTCAGTCCATTCTGGTACTTCAATTTTGTCCTCACCAGGATGCCACCCACACCAGTCCACTAACACCCAGGTACCTACTTTCTTGCTAGGTGAACAAGGACAACACGCCCAGTGTTTCCACCCGGCTGGGTATCAAACCATGGACACTGTGTGAAGTGAGAGCGTTGCCTACCAGGCCACAGGACACCCTGTTAGTAGATTAGATTAGATTGCATTGTCTATTTCAGCCTAGTAGACTTCTTCCTAATTAATATTTTATAACATACACCACACATTGCAAACTTTGCAAGGAAATAACCATTTTGATTTTGATAATACAATATTTGTACAGGAGTGGGTGACAAATTTTAATAATAATAATAATTAATAATAATCTTTATTTCTGACATCAGTAATTTACTGCTATATAGAAAGCCCTTTGTTTTGCAGAGCATTTCGGGAAAATTAGGTCAGTTTTGTTCCCAGGATGCGACCCACACCCATGTACCTATTTTACCGCTAGGTAAACAGGGACAGCAGGTGTCTTAAGGAAACACCCTACGTTTCCACCCGTACCGGGGATCGAACCACGGACACTCAATATGTGAGTTGAGTGCTCTTCCAACCGAGTCATTACCTCTTTAACTTGCTCAGCTATCAAAACTTGGAGTCCAGTCCCTGGACCAATTATGTACCTCTGTAATCTTTTGACTACCGCCCACAGGATGGGTATGGGGTGCATAATAAACATATTAAACTAACTAAAAACTAAACCAACCGAGCTACGGGACCAAGTAAGCTTATTTAGGCAAAGGTACACGTAAGTACAGTTATCTTACATAGTGTAAATTATCTAGGATAACCCCCGAAAAAAGTCAAACGTGACTTAATTCCGATAAAGATACGAGAGTTAATGGGTCTATTCATCAGTTGAAAACTTAAGTCTTGGTTACGCTCGTATAACAGGCGAAACGTTGTTTACCTGGAGTTTACCTGGAGAGAGTTCCGGGGGTCAACGCCCCCGCGGCCCGGTCTGTGACCAGGCCTCCTGGTGGATCAGAGCCTGATCAACCAGGCTGTTGCTGCTGGCTGCACGCAAACCAACGTACGAGCCACAGCCCGGCTGATCAGGAACTGACTTTAGGTGCTTGTCCAGTGCCAGCTTGAAGACTGCCAGGGGTCTGTTGGTAATCCCCCTTATGTATGCTGGGAGGCAGTTGAACAGTCTCGGGCCCCTGACACTTACTGTATGGTCTCTTAACGTGCTAGTGACACCCCTGCTTTTCATTGGGGGGATGGTGCATCGTCTGCCAAGTCTTTTGCTTTCGTGTTTGCGGAAAGTTTCGAATTACTGCGTTTGTCTCTTTATTATCTACATCCCAAACCCATCCTATGGGTGGTAATTACCCCCAAACCCATCTTAGGGTTGGTAGTCACCCCCAAACCCATCCTGTGGGTGGTAGTTACCTCCAAATCCATCCTGTGGGATGGAGTCATCCTGTGGGATGGGGTCATCTCATAGTCATCCTGTGGGATGGGGTCATCTTATAGCCATCCTGTGGGATGGGGTCATCTCATAGTCATCCTGTGGAATGGGGTCATCTCATAGTCATCCTGTGGGTTGGGGTCATCTCATAGCCATCCTGTGGGATGGGGTCATCTCATAGTCATCCTGTGGGATGGGGTCATCTCATAGTCATCCTGTGGGATGGGGTCATCTCATAGTCATCCTGTGGGATGGGGTATCTCATAGTCATCCTGTGGGATGGGGTCATCTCATAGTCATCCTGTGGGATGGGGTCATCTCATAGTCATCCTGTGGGATGGGGTCATCTCATAGCCATCCTGTGGAATGGGGTCATCTCATAGTCATCCTGTGGGATGGGGTATCTCATAGTCATCCTGTGGATGGGGTCATTCATAGCCATCCTGTGGGATGGGGTATCTCATAGTCATCCTGTGGGATGGGGTCATCTCTTAGTCATCCTGTGGGATGGGGTATCTCATAGTCATCCTGTGGGATGGGGGCATCTCATAGCCATCCTGTGGGTTTGGGGGGCATCTCATCCCTGTGGAGGGTCATCTCAAGTCATCCTTGGGGTTTGGGGGGAAACCCCCTCCTTGGGGGGGGGGTCATTCATAGCCCCCTTTTGGGATTATCTCATTTTGGGGGGGTCATCTCGCCCTCCCGGGGGGGGTCATTCATCATCCGTGGAAGGGGTCATCCAACTTTGTGGGTTTGGGGGCATCTCATGCATCCTGTGGGATGGGGTTTTTTCCCCCGTGGGTTTTACACCTGTGGGGGGGGGTTTATATATTTGGGGATGGGGTATTTTTGTGGGGGGGGTTTTTATTTGGGGATGGGGGATTATAGTATTGGGGATGGGGTATATATATTGTGGGTTTTAATTTGCTCGGGGTTTTGGGGCCTTTTTCCCTTTGGGGGGGGTATAGCATCCTTAAAAGATCATCTCATAGCATCTGTATGGGGGATTTCATGGCCCCCCTTTGGGGGGAGCATTCATACCATCGGGGATGGGGCTTCTCATTTCCTAATTCTTTCCCTAGCATCCTTGGGTTGGGCATCTATACCTTCCGGGGGGGGGGTTTTCCCATACCATCCGGATTTAAAAAAAAACCCCGGGGGGGGGGTTTAAATCATACATCCGGGGGTTATCTCTATCCCTTTTTTTTTATTCCAACATCCCGGGGGGGGGGATCATCTCATACCCTCCCGGGGGGGGGGTTTATCTCAAACCCCCCGATTCATCTACCCCTTTAGGGGTCATCTTTCCCTCCTTAGGGTCCTCAATCTCCCGGGGAGGGGGGCCCATGATTTGGGGTGGGGGCTTCCAAATAACCGGGGATGGGGGATTAAAACAAGGTTTTGGGGGGTTTTTAGATCCCTTTGGGGTGGGGATTCCTATATTTATTATTTAAATTTTATTATAATTTTTAATAATAGTTGGAAGGTTAGTGTATTTGGGAAAAATTAGTTTAGTTTTAATTAAAAAATGGGTTATTATATATTTTTTAGTATTAAGTATTCGGGTTTTTTTTTAGTAATATTATAGAAGGGTTTTTAGAGAATTTGAAAAGGGGAATGTGGGGAAAGGGGTAAAAGGACATTTATGTAGGGTTTTAAAAGGTTTAGGGGTTTTAAAAAATTTTTTTGGGACTTTTGAAAAAAAAATTTTAAAACAACACCGCTCAATTTTAATCCCAAAAACCCCCTAATTAAAAAAAACCCAGAAATTCTGCCTACACCGCCTTTTTCCATTTTTAAATAACAAAGAAAAATCATTTTATAAAAGATTAAAAAACTTTAAAATTTTAAAAAGCCTCATCTCTAAAAAAAAAACCCCGCTTTCAACATTAATACCCCCCAAAAAAAAACTAAATAAAAAATAAATTCTTTTTAAAAAATAAAAAAAAAATAAAATAAATTTAAATAAATAAAAATAATTAATAATAAATTTTTAAAAAAAAAAAAAAAGGGGATCCCTTTGAACCCTTTTTTTTGGAAAGGGGGGGGGCCACTTTAAAGAAAGTCTTTTTCCCCTGGGTTTGGGTCATCTCACCCACTGTGGGATGGGATCATCTCATAGCCACCCTGTGGGTGGGGTCATTTAGCCATCCTGTGGGAGGGGGGTCATCTCTAGCCACCCTGTGGGAGGGGGGTCATCTCATAGCCACCCGTGGGAGGGGGTCTCTCATAGTATCTGTGGGTGGGGTCATCTATAGTCATCCTGTGGGTGGGGTCATCTCTAGTAACCTGTGGGATGGGTTATTTAGTCTGTGTGGGTTGGGGTCATTCATAGTATCTGTGGGATGGGGTCATCTCTATCATCCTGTGGGGGGGGTATCTATGCCACCCTGTGGGTATGGGGTGATACCACTTGTAGTAGTAATAGTAGTAGTATGTGTGTAGTAGTAGTGTGGTAGTAGTGTATGTAGTAGTAGTGTAGTGGTAGTAGTAGTAGTAGAGTAGTAGTAAGTGTGGTAGTAGTAGATTTGGTATAGTAGTATAGTAGTAGTAGTAGTAGTGTAGTGTAGTAGTGTAGTAGTAGTATTTAGTAGTGGGTAGAAATGTAGCAGTAGTGTAGAGTAGTAGTATTTAGTGCTAGTAGTAGTAGTAGTGTAGTAGGTAGTAGTAGTGTAGTAGTAGAAAGTAGTGGTAGTGGTACATAAAACAGCAGACATTCTGACATTAATCAACATACATAACATACACCAGACATACACATACACATAACATACACCAAAACTTTACATATACCAAAATTAACTACACCGACATACATCTACATGCATAACATACCCCAG